TAATTGACTAGAATTATCACATAGCTTATTTTTAGGAGAAAAAAATCCTGATCCTCCCCTATTCCTTATCTTAGATTGAAAAATATTTCTGTAAAAATCAGTAGCCATATCTTTCAAAATTTTATTATCTGTTACCCAATTATTATCATTATCTTGTAGGCAATTAATTTTAAATAAGTTTTGTGTACAACGGGTGTACATTAATTTTATTGTAAAACGGTCGGTTTGAGCGTAACTTTAACTATTTTTATGGTAACTTTAACCACTTAAAGGGTAACTTTTAATTTGTCGTTGTTTTGAATTTTATTTTAATGTGTAATTTCTTATAGATACGTGATTACATAATATAAAGATTAATATGATTAATTTAATACATTATAAGTTTTTTGTAAGATACAAGTTATTAATAGAAAAATAATAACTTTAGCAATATAAAGGGTAACATTATGTACTTTTAACACAACTTTAACACGTTTTACAATAAATTAATGTACACCCGTCTTTTTGAAGACTTTTGTGATTAATTTTTCCACAACTCTTTTTAATTTTAGCCAATATATGGAAATATTTTGTATTAAAATCCCCATATTTGCGCCAATTTACTCCTGCCTTTTGTGCCCAAACAATTCTTTTTTTTTTTTTTTTATATATATATATACTTTAATTCCAACAATAAATCCTTTTCCAAATTTATCAGAAAATTCGAAGGATTCCTAGCAACATAAGTTTGTATACCACCTAATCTAGCTAGAAGTCTATCTTTTTTGTACTTTAAATTTCCAAAAATATTGTGATTCCAATCTTTTATTTTATGATGAAAATTCTTTACACCCAGTAAATAACTTTCATTAGGAGACAGCCAATTAGCAGTAAAAAAAAAGAAGAAAATTCAGGATGACTTAACCAAACTTCCTTACATCTTAAAGGAAAAGGACCAGCAACACTATGGTTAGAGCAATGAATTAGAATAGGGGCATGATCAGAGTAAGTGATGTACCTTTGTGTGAGGGAATTTCTCCAACCAAGCCAAATTGCCTAAAGCACGATCAAGCCGCACCTTAATCAAAGTTGCACCCTGCCTTGCATTACTCCAAGTAAAAGGGTTTTCATTATATCCTAAACCAACCACCCCTGCTGCATTAGTGAAATTGTTTAGATCACGACACTGACCATGGCGAAAACGCCTTCCCCCAAACTTTTCATTTTGTGAAGTAACCTCACCTCATTAAGGTCACCAAATAGCAGCCATGGAGCATTAGGAGGAGGAAGATCATCTTGCAATTCCCTCCAAAGAGCATGCCTTTCTCTTGGAGTAGCAGGGGCATGCATGCCAGTAACCAAAGCTTCCGAATTCAGATTCTTAAAATGGAACAAACCCTGAAAAAAAGTTTCATTTTCTCTAAAATCAGCTAGATCAACCACATTTTTCCAGAATATCCAAATACCTCCCTTTTTTTCATTAGCTTCAATTGCCTAATAGTCATGAAGCCCCAATTGTAGCATAACCTGCCTTGCTCTAAGGTCCTCCGATTTTGTTTCAAGAAAAACAAACACTGTAAATTAACCAAATGCCATGCATGTGGGATAAACTCGTCCCTTGTCGCTCCTCGAACGTTCCAAAGAATGAACTTCATCTTTAAATTCGGAACAGGACGCTGAAGAGTTACACGTGGGCGATCAGTCGGGAGTGGGTTCAATGGAAGGTAGTATACCTCCCAATCCCTCCAAAACTCTTGCATCCCTATTGGTATCACATCCTCCAATGATAGCGATAGAGGAGTCAATTGTACCACAATCTCCCTTGGTCCTTGCAGAAATCTGTAAAACCGAACTTTCAATCAAAGTTTGATGGAAACATTTCTTCTTATCTAAATAAAAAAATTAAAATTTAAAAGTCTTGTAGATACTTCGTATATCATAGAATTTGAAGGTAACATGCACTTAATTCCTCTATCTTTAGTCTAGTAGTTTGGGTTTATCAATTATCATTTGTAAGTTGCTTTTAGGAATATGAATAAAGTTGTCAATTCGGGTAAACGGGTCGGGTTAGTGTGGGTCATCCGATCAAGTCAACTCAGGTTGGGTTAATGTCGTAACTTATGTAGGTTGGGTTCGGGTTGGGTCATGCTTGAGTTGGGTTAGGTGAATAATATGTCGGGTTTAATTCGGGTTTTAACAGGTTAAAACGAGTTAGGGTCATTCTCGAGTTCGGTTCAAGCCAATAATTTGCAGGTTATAATCAGGTCGGGTCATTTCCAAACCAGGTCATGTTTGGGCTCGGGTCTCAAATATTGGGTTAATTTGGGTCTCGGGTTGATTTCAGCTCGGGCCATATCGGGTTCGAGTATATTTTTCAGATCGGTTTGTTAAAAATTTATGCATCGACGTTCACAAAGCCAATAAATTTCAAGGCATTAACCTAAGTTATTATTTGCTCTAATTATTATCTAGCTATTAAAAGTGATTAGATCCTGATTCTTGGGTATCTCTTCCAAATCGAGCAAGGTCAAAATGATTAGAAAAAAATTAAGGACATTAGTCCAGCAAATTAAGGGAGAGCAAATAATATTCTCAGTTATTATTAAAATTAGACCCAAAAAGCTAGACTACATCTATGGCTATAATTGATTTTAGAATGATAATAAACAAGCTTATGCGGTTATGCCAATATAATCTGGCTCTTACTGAAAGCTTGAGGGAAAATTTTCCTTACTTATCTTTAAGAGAATAACCGCATGTATACAATGTACATGCCTTTGTCAATCATCATAGGCTAAACTCTATCTAACTATATGCAGATAATTATCAAGCTAATTATCTCCTTTGACTATATAACAATATATACGACAATATACTAGGGAACTATAGCCTATAATTGAACTTCTAGTCAAGCTTGAGTCGGGTCACGTCGGGTCATACATTTTATCGAGTTTGGGTCGGGTTTAGGTCGGGTCAATAATAGACCTTGGGTTACATTCGGGTCGGGCGAATAATAGGTCGAGTTTAATTCGGGTTTTAACGGGTTAAAACAAGTTAGGGTCATTCTTGGGTTCGAGTCTGGTTCGGTTTACGTCAATAATTTACAGGTAATATTCAGGTCAGGTTATCTCCAGGCTGGTTCACGTTTGGGTTCGGGTCTCAAATACTCGGGTTAAGTTAAATCTAGGGTTAATTTTAGGTCGTGTCATATCGGGTTCGAATTACCATTTTTACGGGTTCAAATAGGTCGGTTAATAATCGGGTTCGAATACATTTTTCGAATCGGGTCAGCTTTTGACATCTCTAATGTGACCTTGTTCAATTTTTTAAAAGTACTCAGTTAAAAATTTACACAGGCGTCATGTTTTATTTAATAATTTAGTTCAACAGAAGCCGATTAAAGCTTTTAGGTTGTGTTGTTCATGTTTGGATTTTTTTTACTTGTGTTAAGGGTCATATATCCATTGGATTACATCATATGGATTGAGTGAATACCATTGTACACGTTAACTTTCTATTCTTAATTTTGCTGTTCTATTTGTTCATTTGCATGACCAGGTCGATCTTGCTATCATTATTTATTCAAGATTACCCGATATGTCTTTTTTTTTTATTAATTGATTAAGGATTAGTGCTTTGATCCTTGACAAATTTTTTTTTTGGCAAAATTGGCCTCAACAGCATGAACTTTTAACAAGATGTATGTAGCAGCATGAACTTTGACTAGTAGCTATAACAGCACAAACTTCTTCATCGAGTGCACAAAATATCATAAATGAAATCCGACACCAGAGATTTTGTTGAAGACAGGGTATTTTTAATAATTTATTATTATAAAAAATCGTGTTGGATTGCATGCCTCAATTTATTTGCGGAATAATGATCAAACAAGATTTCGGGGGTCATTTTAGTCCATAGGGTCAATTTTGAGATCAAATTTATTAGCATAAACTTACCAAAAACGCATCAATTTGCGTGCCATAAAATATTTCGGTTAAAGTCTAGGCTCAATTTGGACCTTAAGGACTAAATATAAAATCAAAATTTGCAAAAAGTTAATAAAATATTAATGATTTCGTGTCGTGGACAAAATCTCCGATGTCGGGTTTTATTTATGATATTTTGTGCACCTGATGAAAAAGTTGGTGTTGTTATGGCCACTAGTCAAAGTTCATGCTACTACGTTAATTTGTCTTTTTTTTTTTTCTCCAAATTTATCTTCGTGTTTCTATCTATATATTCATTATTTATTCAAGATCACCCAGCATGTCTTGTTGTTTTGGGTAGGACCTTGCATTCGCCCTTAGTAGACCAGTTTTCAAAATACCACCTTGCATCCGCCCTCAGTAGATGTATCAGTTTTCAAAATATCATCTTGCATTCGCCTCTATTAACTTTATGAAATTCTCAAAAATTGATATAATATGTCGATGGTAAAAAAGTTATATGAAATGTCCAATAATTTATCCCCGTTCCACTGTGGGTCCGAACTCATAACTTTCTCATACTTTTTTTTCTTAAAAAAAGGTAAGGAAAATAAGATTAGAAAGCCCTTCTCACGAAGGGAATTCCTAACGGGTCAGATTAAAGAATAGGACATAGGATAGAGCTATTACAAACATCAATATCCATATTATCAGACACTAGACCTAACATTAGCGATCCAAACTACTGCTTGATTTACTTCTCGGTAAATGTGCTGAATACTCCAATTATGAAACCGAGTGAGGAGAGACCGAATGTCTTTGATAATATGTTCGATCAGCCAAGGGAATGCCCAAGTGCCTTTCAATGAGCTCGATCTACTTGAGTGTCTTTGATAACTTTCTCATACTTGTCTATCCTAAACCTATAGAGGATACCAAATAGGTCCCAAACACTGTATTCGTTTGGATCATTGAATTAATCCTTTTGGTTCTATGCTTCTATAAGCCTGCTATAATATACCCATATTATTATAACCATATAAGCCCAACTTTTTTTAAACTCACACAGTCCAGAAAAGCCCAATAAAACCTTCAAAACCTAAAAAAAAGAACATTTATATTCAATCTAAAACCCTAGCTCGCTTCACCTCCTTTTTATTATCTCCTTCCTTCACTTTCTCTCTCTTCATTGCAGTTCCGCCTCTCTTCAACCATGGTACACATTTCGATTCTCTCTCCTTCTCTCTCATCAAATTACAGAAAATTGATCCCTGATTTTCGGTTTTATGTGTTTGATTTATAATTTTCTGGGTTTTTTTCGATTAATTTCAGGCTCCAAAGAAGGATACTAAGGCTGCACCTTCATCAAAACCGGCTAAATCTGGTGGTGGAAAGCAGAAGAAGAAGGTTAATTTCTTAATAATTCATCTCCTAATTTTTTATCTTTGATAATTTGTATGTTTAATTTGAGATCAATAGATTTTTATATTGGGTGAAAATTGCAGAAGTGGAGTAAGGGAAAGCAAAAGGAGAAGGTGAACAACTTGGTGTTGTTTGATAACGCTACTTTTGACAAGCTTCTTTCTGAAGCTGCTAAGCAGAAGGTCGTTACTGCTGCTACTCTTTCTGAGCGTTTCAGGGTATGATTTCTATCTAATTCCATCTCAATTTTTTTGTTTTTAATTTGATTTGATTTTTTTTTGCTTAAAGTTCTGAAAGTTGTATTAAATTTGGGTATTTCGATCTGATTGTATAAGTTAGGATTTTAGGGTTTTGAATATATGGTAGAAAAATACAAAAGAGGTTTTATTTGTGATCTGATTAGGTTTCGTCGTTTTGTGTTTTTTTGCTGGTTTGTATGATTTATATTACGATGTGTCAGTGCGTTTAGTAGTGATATTTGAATATTTATCAAGCTTCGGGTTTTCTATGAATTTCTCTGAATATAAATTATTAGGGCACAATAAAATTGTTGTGCGATTTAGGGTTTACTTAATTAGAATTTAGTGTTCATTATGAGTGAGTTAATTAGAATTTACTGCAAATGAATTAAGGTATTTACTTATCACGATTATTAAGTGCCCAGGTGTTTGTAGTTGAAGTTTTTCTGCCTTTTTTATGACATATGTTTGTGTTATGAAGCAATGTGAGGTAGACAATTTTGATTGATATACACATAAGAATGATGTGCTGAATTTGTTGTTGCTTTTCAATTTCTAGTAGTATGATATTTCTAGTAGTTGTTGGAGATTTGTCAAGTAACTATTATTACGAGGTTTCATATATTGTATTATCTAAAGACTACAACGGATCCATAGTTTAGACTTAAGAATTTAATTAACATGCAATTATATAGTCTTCATTGTTGGGTTTGTATTGCTGTTGTGTCAGTGCTCTTCTGCTTAACCGATCTCATAGTGAAGAAGGGGTGTTGGAATTGATTTGATCTTGGAGTGAGACTTTGATTGATTAAACAAAATTGAAGTGACCATCCCTTTGGGTATATTCTTTTATAGAGAGAACCTGTTTAAGGACATGAGATTATGTTATCCTTGAACAGCAGCTGTACTGTTTTTTCTTCCTAAGCCTTGGGTTAGTATTGAAGTAGCCGTTTAATTATATGACCGAGTCAAATAAATACTTGAACTTGTGTGTAAGTTCTTATGGCATTGTTAAGCTTGTCACTGATTAGCCTCGAGATCAATGTTCTTTCGCTGATTTCAGTCTTAAATATCTCTGCAACATCAAAATATTAGCTACACTAATTCCTTTTACTGATTCATCTACACTGTTTTTGGTTTTCCTTCTGTCAGATTAATGGGTCTCTTGCAAGGAGGGCAATCAGAGAGCTTGTGACAAGGGGTGCTATTAAGATGGTAGCTCATCACTCAAGCTTGCAGATTTACACCAGATCAACCAATGAGAAAGTAGTTGCTGCTGCTTAATTTCTTTAGTACATCTGATGGTTGCCATGGGCAGCTAGTTTTGATCATCATCTTGTAGGATAATTTTGTTTTTGACACCTTTCTTTGAGGCAAATACTCGACTAGAACTCTTAGCCTTCGAGAAATTATTTTATTTCCATCGTTGAACTTTCTACTCTCAGTGTGTTAAGAATGCAAAATTTCTATTAGGAAGTGCTTTTTTTTCATGATTCTCATTGCTACTCCGTCCTTAAATGATTGAAAGTGTTGATTGTGTTGGCGATGAGGGGCATTTATCAGGATTGTGTTTTATGAATCTGATAGATAGAGGAAAATTGGGAAAAGTAAGACGAAAACAGGGAACGTTGTGGATAAATATGTGATAATTATCCATCAATAGTGTTAAATTGTACTCCGTAATTTTGCTAAGCATGAGATGAACTTCCATTTGTTGTGGATACAATTATACTCTTTAATAAACAAAGGTTTTGATAAACAATTACGGAGTATAAACAACCATGATCGTAATAGGGATGATAGTGGGTCGGGATAAATGGGAGACCTTGGGCGGGGATGAAGGGACGTTTGGCTGGTGATGGGGTGGAGATGGGAATAAGTGTACCCGTCACTTATTGGCATTAACACCATATCGTATGAATTTCGCCAAGTAAATGACAATAAAGATTTGTTAGAAATGATAATTTTTCATATTATTGTGATATAATGTGGTATTATGGTAGTGGGTTTGGGGCGGATAAGGTGGGTATGAATATCCAAATGGGTGGTGGGACGAGGATGAATATTAGCTTGTACCTGGTGGGGCGGGTATAGATGTGAATATTGTATCCGCCATTGGTGGTGGGACGGAGAGGCGTATGGGTGTGGAGGTACCATCCTCTGCATCCGACCCGTCCCATTGTCATCCCTAGACGATGGTAATGGTGAGAGGTGTGACACTTAAAAAAACAATCCATATCTGTTTAACAATGATAATGGGTGGGTTAGGGTATGGTAACCCAAAGAAGGACTTTCATCACCATGTATGCATGCATCAACAATGATAATGGCATTAATGGGTGGGTTTGGTTATGGCAACCTAATGAAGGATTATCCATATTTATGGTAGGAACGGTCCACTTAGCCTTAATTTTATCAATTTAGCTGGTTACACTGTTACACACATAAGCACACAGACAAACACCCTTTCCTTAATTACCTACATCTTTAATTAATTCAAATCTACCTTACATTTATATGACTGACTAGTGATACGTAGTTACATTCTCACAACACTAGCTAAAGGAAGTTAATGTGGGCTAAATGTTTTTCCACCTCCACTAAGTATCACATACTATTATACTAAGTATATATGAGTATACGAATGCAACAACAATGATAATGGGCGAGTTTGGGTATGATAATGTAATGAAGAATTTCCAACGTCTTAATAGACCACTGAGTTAATGATTGAATTTATCTCTATTATATCACTATATTATAATTTTAAAACAGTCATATAATCAAACATAATTAGTCTCGAGATTTTATATACTTATTGGTAGACCTATTGTAGTTTTAAATCAATTGTTATGAACACCCCCCAAGTCCCCAACATTCATCTGTTTTGTAAAAATTTCTCAAAAACCGTTCAATAGTGTGAAACGGATTATAGCCTTTGTTTTTAGATAATTTTCGACAATTTTGTGCTCGGTAAAGAAGAGATGGATTGCTTCCTATGATCCACGGAAGGCCATATAAGTGGTTGACTGGTTGGTACTGTCCATTTACCCTTATACTATCAATTTAACAGGGTACATACACACCTCCTTTGGCTCCTTAGATTATCTCAAAAGTCAAAACCCACCGCAGGCTTTTATATGACTAAGTGACTAACTGGCGGAGTTACATGGTTCCAAATAACCCTCGTTACATGCTCACTTAGGCCCCGTTCACTTTATCTTATTTTTGCTGAACCGAAATTATTTTTGCTGAACTGAAATTATTTTTACTGAACTATTTTTGCTGAATTGCTATTATATTTCTTTTTTAAGTTTACTGATTTTTAGTGAACATAAATTATTTTTGCTGAACTGAACTTATTTTTATTGAACTGAAATTATTTTTACTTAATATTATTTTTTTAAGGTGAAGTGAACAGGGTTTTACCCTTACGAGGGTTGGACGTCTAAAGGACTACAAAAGTTAAAGAGAGAAAGTGGAAAAAAGTACAAAGCATGTGCAAAAGGGTAAATCAGGAAGTGTAGTGAATAAAGTTAAAAAAGTGAGGGTATAATAGTCTTTACATACAATCCAAAAATAAAAATAGGAACAACATTTTGAATCTCCAAAATAAGAAAACAGAAACTATATTATGGGACGGAGGAAGTACTCTTTATAAGCTGGAGGCTTGTGTAAATGAAGCCAATGATGAAAATCTAATTAATTGAAACAAGAATGGGCCCAATCCATGGGCTTGGGCTATAAGTATTTGGATTGACTATTAGATGGAGAATATGAAGTACTTCTTTTTCAATCTGATAAATGTCAGCAGAGAATAAAAATCAGCTTTTATATTTAGCTGGTTATATGAGATTAAATTTCGTTCACATAATTTGTCCTTATATCTCTGAATCTCTCTACCAAATACATATCTGATCACGAATAGCTATAATACATTTATCTCTTTTTTAAATCGAAATGAACCTTAAACTCAAAAGCTTTCTTAATGCCATGTATCTACAGTATATCTCTATACTAGTACTAGATAAAATATTAAACTATTTTCTGAAAACTATTCATATAATAATTTTGATGATATATAAATATTTTGAAACTAATATAGTTTTAATGTATATTCTCATAGATTATTTTAAAATAAGTTTAGTAAGATAAATTTTACAAGTATATAATAATAATCAAGGATGGACTCCAGGTATTGTATTTATAACCGTGAAAGTCAAATTGTATTTGTACATAGGGATATAAAAATAAGGAAATGAGTTGGAAAATGCAGTGGATTACGAAGACTTGTCATATTGCATGAGAATTATATGTTGGATCTGATGCATTATGGTCATATCCGACGTGACAAAATCCACTTTTTAATAGGCATACACCACAGGTGAATTAGGAGGATATTATAGTATACTAATTATCATGCTCTAATGCACGCATCGAAGAGATTGAGACATAAAATATACAAGTATAATTTCTGATAAGGAAAAAGTTTGTTAGAAATGGAAGAATAAGCATCTCTCTCTTGCATAGTTGCATGTGATTCAAACAATCAAATATCAAATCACATGAAATAAGAAATGCAGTATGAAATATGAAAAAATAAAAAAGATTCCGACCAAATTAAATTTTCAAGCCTTAAAAATACATATTTGTCTAAGATTGAAGGTTTATTATAAGAGAACAGGTTTATAAGTTGCATGCATACACATTATAATCCATGAAAATAATTTAATTTAATTTCTAAATTTGGTAATTTGTTTGTAATTATTTATCTCTAAATCAAGAATTTATCTAATAATAGCATGGGTATAAACTAAAACGAATACACAATCTAGGCATATCTATCTCTTGCATATAATATGCCCGTGATGGTAGAATTTGAGGCCGAGTAGGCTTCATTCATGCACTTTATTTACACAAGTAGGTTTCCAATTGGAATTTCAGACGTGTTTCATTTAATTTGTAACTATAGTATATGCCTATATGGTGTACATTATTGTACAATATTTGATGTCTTTTGCAACTTGTTTATGCATGCACTATTATTGTCCAATACTTTAATTTGTGAAAAAAAAAGAAAAAAAAAAGCAATACTAAGATTTGAGATTAAATCCTGAATATTATATTTTCTATTCGTGATTATCGACAAACTCTACATACCTAATAAAAAAACTTTAAAATCCATAGCAATTGCCAATTACGCGTATCTCTCATTACCACATCTCTTCTCAACATTTCTCTAAGCAGAACTCTCGTGGGAACTTGTGTTAGACAAAAAGATGTATCTTTTGAATCAGCTACATGCAAATTAGAATCAAAATAATAGAGTTACCACTTTTCTCCATAATTTTGAAATATAGAAAAATGAATGAAGCACACATGCTGATAATTTTAAGAGCATTTTAGCACAATTCTTCTACCCTTTTGCAGGATGTCCACATAGATCATTGTCAGATAAACTAAATAATTGACCAAGACAAAGATTGGCTAGCTAGGTTTGCTTTTGGTATAGGTTCCAAAAGTTTCAATCATTCACAAAGATTGTCTGCCAATTTGTACATTATATTATATAGGATTATATCATGACAAAACTTAATCTATTACTAATGTTTTGTTTAATGGCCTGGATTATTAGTGTAGTAACTAATACTCTTGTAGTCTAGCTAGTGTTAATGTGTTATCCTAACCTCCTAACTAAGATTCAATTCACTTCACTTTTAATATGTGAAGTTTGTACAATTCTTTCTTTTGGTCCTACTTTAAAGCTTAAAGTATGACAATAGAAATCATCTTTAAATTTTTGAAGGGACATTAGTGTACACCTTATAAGATAGTCTATTGGTCGATTCAAGCTGAATTCAACTCAAGTATTCTAAATCAGTTTACTTGTACTAGAGGTTGGATGATCCAGAGTGATTTGATGCGAGGTGTGCATATGTTGGCCTTATTAAAAACCAGTACGATTTGTTAAGGAGTTTGTATGGTCAAGTGTAGTTCTAAAGATTACGTATAAGAAGTTAAAAGTAGACATAATAAGAATTTAACAATAAAGAGACACACGTCGCTTAATTGGATTATCCTCCAATTGTGCATATGTAGATTGACAGAAGTTGTGCTTTTCCTTTGCCTCTTACAATGGTCAAGAATGTGCGTGCAGTTGAGATTTGAGCATATCTAATAGCTAGATTAGCTAGCTACTGATGCATAACAAATGACTATCAAATGCCTACATATATATAAAGTGTAGCCTAAATCATTTACCAAGTATATATAAATGGTGGGGTGGCCATGAAAAAAATGATAGTCCGTAATAAACTAAGGGTTAAAATTCAATCTCTAAAAGTGAACTACGTGATCAAAGATAATCTCTAAAAGTGAACTACATGATCAAAGATCTATACTATAGTGAAAATAAAAGTTAAAACTATTTTTATTATCACTATTGTTTTACTATAATACTATTATTTCTCTAAAGCAGAGATATTTATTCTACTCTTTTAGAAGAGTTCTAGACATTTATAGTCCTTACTTAATATACTAACCTAGTAACGTTGAAAATATGGTCAATAATGGGTCAAATCTCAGCACTAAAAAGTACTTGTAATACTTTAGCTCTAGAAGTTCACTACGGCTTACAATACGCACTGAAATTATGGTACTCCTTACAAGACGATTTTAAAAAAAAATATATATCTTAAATTGATATTTATATCACACTGCATGAAAAAAAATTATGCATTTAATCGAATGAACTGTTGGTTACTTTATCATTATGACAACTTACATGTGTTGTAATCCGTAATAACTATTTACTCTGTATTAGATTGGTTGTAAGTGTCTTCATTTATACTCCACTTCATTACAAATTTGTGCTCTCGAAAGTAATATAGATTAATTTGATCCATCACCTGCACAATAAACATGCTATGGAAGGGCACATATGCATCTCCGACGACCAACTTGCGATGTATGTACACCTACCCTTAACAACCACCATCAAATATGGACATCAAAACACGTCGTTGATGCACCAAAAGTTTATACAATGTCCAAACTAAGTGGTGCAATTATATATCTGCAACCCTTGATGTTAGTATATGGTTAGATACGCGAAAAATTGATTGTTGTAACGTAACACTATCTTTTCAAAAGCAAATAAAAACTTAAGAGAAGCTTATTTGATATGAATTTGATGTCTCCACTCTCCACCATTTTGATATCTCCATCATGGTCTCAAAGTAACGGAAAGTTTAACAGAAAAACGGTAAAATTTGAAGGGACCTACTAAAATAAAGCACCAAAAAAATAAATAAAGACCCAAGACATATTGTATACAAGTATACATTATTTTTAATTTTTAGACTAAAGTTGTTGCATTATTTTTTTTTGGTGGGGCTATGAAGTAATTGGTATGATTAAAGTGAATTTTGTCAAGCACAGTGGAAGTTGATTTTAAAATTTATGGCTGCTAATTTCCGTGACACTATCTTAGTAAGGAAGTAAGAAAAGGATGGCCAATGATAATGTTGTCTTTTGCCACATGGCAATTCTTAATGGCAAAGAGCCTAATTTAGGATGTGACAATTTAGCTTCTAACCTAGTTCTCTCTTCAGGTTAGCTAAAACGATAAAACACGATAGTTTACCTTAATCAATCATTTAATCCGCACTTGTTTGATTTAACTTATTTGACTGATTTTAGACAAAATTACAAAGTATTTATTAAGCTTTTGATAGGCATGTTTTATAAGCCACACTAATAGTGTAGCAATTGAAGAGTTAACTAAAACAATGTGAAAAAAAAAAAAAAAAAAACCCTACTACGTATCTAATATGGTGTAAAATTTTATCATCTATTATTATTTCAACAATGAAAAAAAAATTCTTTGGTAGAGGTAGCAATAAAATTTTAAAAACATATAAATAAGCACTAAATCATAGATAATAGATTTAGTAAAAGTGATTAAAAGAGAAAAGATGTTCCTTATTCTATTATGTATACCAAACCCACACTCAAATAATTTTTCTAAATAAATCACTAAAACTAATTACTCTGAGTGTACTTTACTTTATATCCTTTGCCTTTATATATAGTGGCTCACTCACTCTTTGTGCACCCAACTCAACCATTTTTCTCATTATTTCTCCTTCACACTTCAATTTTCCCTCTTAATATCCAAAAACTTAATTTATCAAACTATGTTTTGATCGCAAATTTCAATATTCCAAACTCTTTTTTTGGTTAAGATTATTAAGCTAGCAACTAAACAATTTGCTAGCAAAAATTTCTTCAACTTTCTAGATTAGCAAATGAATCCCTTAAACATAAACCACATCAAAGTAGAGAAAGCAAAATCCATCAAACTTAGGTACCAAAAACTAAGAAATATCACACATTTTTTTCGAGTTTTCGAAATCATCCTAATTCTTGCAGTGATCTCAAGGCTATCCTTTCAATTACCCTTAGCATTATTCCAGCTATCAAATGAATTCATCCACACTTTATCTATCTTCCTAGTTAGCCCTCAGTTCGTGTTCATCTTAGGGAACGCAATCGTGATCACTCTTTTCGTGAACTCGGGGCATCTAAACAGCAACCTTAAGTCACCTAAAACTTCTTCATTAGAGCGTAAGAACATGAAGACAGTGCAGAAGTCTGTTAAGAAACAGGTAATGCCAGAGGAAAACGCGATGATGGCAATGATTTTTTCGACTTCAGAGCAGCAGCAGGTGATCAAAATTTACCACAGGAGTAAGTCTGACAAGGTGAGGAGGGAAAAGGTAGAGGATAAGTGCTGTGGATTACGAAGGTCGAACACGGAGATTAAGAGTTTGAGAGGTTGTGGATGTAGTAAGGTTGCAAAAGAAGGTCATTACCCTGAAGATCATATGAGTAATGAAGAATTTCAGAAGACAGTAGAAAACTTTATTGCTAGACAACAGAGGTTTTTGAGAGAAGAAGAGTACTCTGCTCTTATAGAGTAGATTTTTGTGCAATAGTACTACTTTGTTCTTGCAGAAGAATGGGGGGTTGGGGCCTGGGGGGGTGGATTTTAGTTGTTTTTGGAAGGTTTTTGTACAGTTTTACTTCTGAAAATGGTAGTGTACTTGTTATTTGCTATAGTTTGCCTTAAGGGTTTTAAACTTTAGTATAAAAATACAAGTTTTTTGCTTGGAAAATTTCCTGGACTCTTATCTTTTTTCACAATTAAGGTCTTTAGTACATGTTTTTTTGATACGGAAAGGAGAAGTGTCCTATAGTATTGAATTAGAATCTCGCATAACTCAACTAGGCTTAGCCGGCTCAGCCTAAAAGAAAACCTCGAGGTTTAAAGATACAAACCTTTACCACTAGACCATGCATTACTTGGTAAGGTAACATATACGTAGGTACTAAGTTCAAATTTCACTCTCTCCATTGTAATAAGTAAACTTGTTATACTAGGCATGTCCCCTGTGTGATCTGCTAAGAAATAATCCCCTAAACTATGATTTGATGTAATTACATATATAAAAGGTTGGGACAATGTGACAATAATTAAGAATGAAGGGATGCCACAGATATTATTCGAATCCAGGCCGTCCTCTACTTGGTTTTGACATGGGTCTGATAAACCAAGATCATCATCACCTTGTTAAGTACATTAATCAGCTTAAAGTCACTAAGAAAGGTAAACATTTGTTTTTACTAGCTAATTACATTCTCTAACAGAATCAGATGCTCTCAGATATGCCAATACATTCAGATGCTGCAGTTAATATATTATGTTAATCTGTTTGCATGTCAAAATGGAAATCTATTAGTCAATCACCTCTATTGGCTTAAGTTAGTGTTGTTTTCACTTGAATTTCAATTATGTCACTTTATCTAAACTAATTAATTTATCATGAGCTTATCTTATCTAAATTTATATTATCAATTGAACTTTTTAGCTTTAAGCTTAATTTATCCATATAAGTATATAATCCAACTTCAAACTTATTAGACGACCTAATATAAGTGAAATTAAGATAAAGAGGTCAAGATGGAAAAAACAAGGCCTAAAATCAAAAAATTCCAATCTTATGATTTTATCTAAGCTTCCACTTTCTAAATTAGCAATTTAGAAATACCTTATTTTGTCTCTTCTGTATCAATTGTGAAAAGGTAAGAGAACATAATAAACAAATCCACAGTAAAAGTGAAAAAGGAAAGTTTCATATGTATATCTTGAATAAGGTAATAAAAGGCTAAAGCCATGAACATGTAACACGTTTAGTTATGTCACTTGTGAGTTGCGACTATAAATTTCTATATATACTTTTAACTACTTATTCATAATCCTTAGAGTTACGTTTAACATTAACCTATTATTTTTACATTCTAAACATGATTGTTGATACCTAAAAGTAAGTCGATCAAATGAATTTCATTACGTGTAGCCCATAAAGAGCACTTTCCTTGGTAGAGCTTATTTATGACTTCGAATTTATAATGTAAGCAATGTGCTGTAGTATTTCTTTTTCTAACAGTTTGTAATTTTATGTCTCTTTCTTCATGTAATTTTATGTCTCTTTCTTCATTTGTGTGAAGTATAACATAAATACATTTATTTATGAATATTATTTTCTAATTTGATGGTCAAAATAAATGAAAGCTTTGATGGAAGAAAGGAGGAAAAAAAAAATAAAAAATCCGCAAGTAGCCAAGCAAGAAGAATATATAAAAGGTTGGGACAATGTGATAATAATTAAAAATACAATGTTCTCTCTAGGTTTTCTTTTTGGGAGGGTTTTTTTGGTTCCCTCTAGGGTTTCTTCCTTGGGAGGTTTTTCCTAGCCTCCTTTGCTAGGTTTTTTTTAATTTTTTTTGAAGGTTTTCCTTCACTCTTCTCCATTTTCTATCCATCTCTACCATCTTTTTTCCTCTTGGTCTCAATTGTGAATCTTTATAGGGGCTTCCACTGGTGTTCTTATCGGCGATAAGCCCCAAAAAACCTTTTAATTGCTTTCAATAAATAGATCTCATCCTTGATCAAATGATGATTTTTCTCTAGAATTTATTTTCTTTTTATATTTGTATGGCGAGAATTGAATATCTAGGGTTTCAATATCTCTACAAGAATTCGGAGGACCATATGAGTATTTTCACTCAAACGGCTACACATCAGTGGATTTCAAGTCGAATTAGTGCGAACCCACAGATTGTATTGCTTCAGATGAAGTTTTTATTAAGGCAATTGTTTATCAAATTTACGATGTATTTACTTTTAAGGTGTTATGTACTTGTGTTGGAATTCTTGATTTCTTAGAAATTATATGTAAGTGCTGTGTGGCTATATTTTATTAATGAAATCCCTCTTCTTCTTGTCAAAAAAAAAAAAAAAAAAAAAAGAAGAATATATGATAAAGAGATGAAATGCATCTGTCTGTTAAGGGGCAAAATCTAAAATCTATGACATTTATTTTGTTCTACTGCATATGATGCAATATACTGATATATTCTCTGCTGCTAAAATTGTTCGAATTTTCGGTATCTAGATGCAGGGAAAAAAATAAGTAACCGACAATGAGAATTTTATACCCTAAAGAATATGTCCTCCTTACCTCCTGGTGGATGGCCAGTATATGTTGATGATCTTCGTGGTAAAGCTAATGCACATGAAGGAATATTATATAAGTCTGTCAATTTCAAAGTTCCTATTGTTCAAGTATCATATATACTACGTATATATAGATCCAATTGATAATTGTAATTACAGTGAAGATTTTCAAGTTCAACTTATCGATGTTAAGTTATATAACTGTTTAAGAATCCAAAAGTTTAAGTGACACGGAGTAGATGCATTTTATAACACAGTACAATGTAAAGGTCGTAATTTATAACAATATCATGCAACGTGTGATACAATGTTATTGGGATTTAATACTTGTACTTTTAGGTACTTTATACATAATACATACCCTATGTTTAGACAATCCAAAAGAAAGTTCGTTCTAATATGATTTAATGAATGATCTGGAAGTTTTTAGCTAAGTGATTAGGTGGAGCAGAATTATAAAGATCATAAAGGCAAAAGAATGCTGGTGTACATCCATGGATCATTATCTAGTACCTAATTAATTTGATTAAGTTCAAAGGAAATCCTTTAATCTTGCCAACCTTCTTTATTTAATTATTTTTAAGGCTAGCTACTAGGAAGCCTATAATTAGCCATTTTTGCAAGACAGAACCCCGTAACAATTTTATCATTAGTGTAACCACGTTAACAAATGTGTCGAATTTAGGACCACCGCTTTATTCGTACTTTGTTTTTCCATCCAATAATAAGATAACATGTTGCAGATAATGCTGGATTTTATGTAGAAGATAAGTGTTCTCCTAAAATATCAACCACGATTAGGATGTTACATCTTCCAATCTTAAATATCTAATGAGTTTTCACTTCTATCTATGATTTTTTTTTTTTTTTTTCCTTCCAAACAATTACTTCGTGATATCTTAGATGCTTGTTTATTAACTTACTTTTTTATGTTTGCATTTTGGTAAATAAAATGATTCACTTTATTCTAAGGGGAAAAGACAATAAAAAGAGAATTAAAGAATTAAAGAAAAAAAGGAAGGCCAAAGCAGAAGAGCGACCACATAAAAGTGGATTAAGGCTGGGACATAACGTAAATTTAAGGCTTAAGGATTATAATTTTGAAACTCTATGAGCCAAGATCTGTACTAACCACTTAAATATCTAGGCTGCATTTGTTCAGCTTTCCACTGGATAATCTAGAAGGAATACAAAACAGCTTAATGTGAAGTATTACATTGTGCAAAGTACGTACTATTTACAAACAAATTATGTTATCTTATACATACAATATTCCAAATGCACGGAGGATCATGAGATAAGAGGTTAGAATAGTTGATTAACTCTCTAAATTTCAAACGTGAAGTTGGGTGGAGGGAGAAAAAGGGTCATCTAATGTCAACAACTTTATTATTAGTATAGGAGAGACTATCTTGATTCCCCTAGTCTCTAGGTCTCTCCTATAAGCAAACGATTAACGATTGCTCGGAAAATCATGCTCTTTGTTGGTGCATGTATCACGTTTCAAACATACAATATATAGTAGTATAGTAACACGTGTGTCGCATACATGCACTCACACAGTTATTCTGCTACTTATATACTTCGTATTATTATCACAAGGGGTTTTATTGTTCTCGGGTTCTACCTTAAATTTTATAACTTACAATGAAATTTCTAAAAACTATTGAAGTAATATGTCTTACATTTTTTATACTTTGACTAAGAGGAATAAAAGATCACCTTGAGAAAGTAGATGCAATAGTCTACTCCCTAAATTCCTAATGTTTGGTAGAATCTTGGTTAAAAACCTAAAACTAAATAAATAAGAATTTAAATAAATAAAAAAACGAAATTTTAGAAAATAACACAAAAAAAAAAAGTCACGATTTTGATTATAACACCACAAAAAGAGAAAAAAAAACTTTAATTATAATACCACAAAAAAAATCCAAAAAATTGATTTCACCACCATCTAGTGGATGCCGTCCAAAAAACCGTTTGTGGACCCCGCCAAGTACACGTGTCACTTATATATTGGTTAAAAAAAAGGAGAAAAAAAAAAAAAAAAACTAAACCCTAAGCCAGCCACCAATCCCACCACCGGCAGCTCCTACATCCCACCGCCGGCACTACCCTCCGCTGCCGCCAAGCCACACCAGCGTTCACCCGATCACCCCCACCCTCCTTAACCAACCCCGAAAAACCCTATCGACCACCAGACGCACCGATTGACCCCAGCCCGAAACTCCCTAAACCCTAGCCACCACCAAAAACGGCCACTAACGGTTGAAATCGGCGGTTTAGGGCCTGAGTGGTCAAATTCGACTCTAAATTGGCCGATCTCGACTGCTAGTAGCTATTTTTGTTTTGGAAGAATAATGGTGGTGGCTGTCGGTTTTGAGTGGGGAAAGGAGGAGCGTTGCGGTGGCTGGGGTGTGTCGCAGGAGGTTTTCGATGGTTGGGGGTGTGTTGGAGGAGGGTTTCGGTGGCTGAAGGAGTGGGAATTCGTTGTGTGCAGTGGCGAAGGTGGTTGCGGGGGTTGCTCGGTGTGAATTTGTGAGGCAAGGCAGAGCTGGGGTGGTTTATGGGAAGGGGGAAAGGAGGGTTTCGCCGATTTTGGTGGGACAGGGGTGTCGGCGGTGGGGGACAGGTGGTGCTGGTGGTGGGGTTGGGCTAGGTTTGGTTGTTTAGGGTTTTTTCTTTTTTTTTTTTTAATTTTTTTTTTTTATTATTATTTTTTTTGTTAAATTAATAGATTAGCGACACGTGTCTGTTATGGGCCCACTAACGAATTTCATCCAAGAATCCGTTAAGTTGCGGTGAAATCAAATTCTTGGGTTTTTTTTGTGGTGTTATAATAATTATTTATTTTTTTTTTTTTTTTTTTGGTGGTATTGTAATCCATTATGTGACAATTTTGTGGTGTTATTTTCTAAAAAATCCTAAAAAAATTGAATTAACTAATGTAGAACTTCCTTCTTAACCCTTAAGCTACCAGGGTACCCTAGTTTTATGGGACATTTAATATTGTGAAAGCTTTAATAATAATAAGAGCATAAAAATGAGAGAAAGAAGATGGGGTGGTAGCAGAGACGTGAATCACGCAGCACAACCTTTGCACTTACAGTACCATCACTCAAGCTTTAGAACTAATTTAGTAAGCTTGTAGTATTTGCCTATTTGGTACGCATATATTTACACCTGAACTAGTAATATAGAGTATCTAAGACACAAAACTTAAAAAATTATCATTAATAATATACTTAGACTAAAAGAATAGACAGGTGCTCACATGGAAGTAGAGAATGTCCTCCACATGAAGGAAGGAGATGGGCAAAGTAGTTATGCAAAGAACTCCTTACTTCAGGTTTAAACATCTCTAATCACCTTTGTAAACGTAAATGGCTTAGAACATCTATAAATACATTCAGCTTTCGGATATAATAGTCATATATACGAAATGTAGTACTCCGTAATATAGAGATACATGAAACATGTAGCACCTTTTCTGAAACAGCATACTCGTCTCATGGCTGGGAAACCCATTTCATACTCGTCTCACGGGACACCCAATCATGAGCGAGTATGAAAATGACTCAAATGTTGTAAAATTTTCTTTCCATAAAATCATAAATGTATTGTACTAAAATTTAAAACACATAAAAGTTTACTCTACAGCTACCCCTTTAAGGCCCTTTTTTTTTCTTGTTTTGTGGAGCAGAGAACCATGATAAACAAGGCGAGGCCGGTACTACAAGAAAGCATAAGAGATCTGTACCATGCCTTACAGCCAGAATGTCTAATGATGGCTGACTTAGGCTGTTCTTCTGGGCCTAACTCGTTGTTGGTAGTCTCTGAAATCATTGATATAATCGATGAGGAACGACAGAAATTTGATCGAAAATGCCCTAAATTTGGAGTATTCCTCAATGATCTCCCAGGGAATGATTTCAGTGCTATATTTAACTTGCTCCCAAGCTTTTACCAGAGTCTAAAAGAAGAAAAAGGCGGTGACTTCGGACCATGTTATGTATCAGGAACACCTAAATCATTCTATGGAAGAATTTTTCCTGACCAATTCCTTCACTTTGTACACTCTTCTTACAGTGTTCATTGGCTCTCTCAGGTAAAACCTACTGCATATACACCATATACACAGTAATACTGTAGAATATCCAAAAACAGTTGTCACATTATAATGTTCTTTAATGAGTTTGTTACTTGGGACAATGTCAGTAGGTACTCAGTACTGTGAAAGAGTTTCCTCTTGTTTCAGAATCAGAATTTGCTGTTTTATTCTATTACTGATCAAAATCTGACCTCAGTGTGGTTGCTTTTGTTACTATTCTCGTTGTTTGGTCTAAATCTGAGTCTCGGTTCCTCGGTAAGGATCTGGGATACAGTTCAGAAAAACCAAGATAACGAGATCTTTACATTAAAATGAGAAGCATGACATAGAAGCCCTTGGTGCAGAGCAAGATCTGCTACTTCTAGGGCATATGCACAGAAAATGGATATATTTTCTTCTTAGGATTATACTTCGTATGTCTTAATTTTTCTGCATATACTTGGTAAGTTACGGAGTAATTCTTAACTAAGTTAACTTGGATATGGGATTGCAATGGCAGGTACCAAGAGAATTGGAAAGTAGCACTGGAGAAGCATTGAACAAAGGGAGTATATATATAGCAAAAACAAGCCCTCCAGAGATATTACAGGCATACTATGCACAGTTTAAGAGGGACTTCGTTCTCTTCTTGAGGTCACAAGCGAAGGAGATGGTACCTGGTGGCCGTATGGTCTTGACTCTGCAGGGTAGCTTTCAGAGAAATGACCCTGATTCAATTTGGGAATTGCTTGGCTCTACCCTCCAAACTATGGTTCTAGAGGTGACTATGGTCTTATTATTTTCATCTTAAAATACTCCTAAGTTTGCCAAAAATACCCAATACGCCAACAAGTTTAGATAAATTCTGACTTCTGATGAGGGCTTCGAAATATATTTACACACCTATATATGTAAAGATAGATATGAATAAGTTCGGATAAAAAGTACATATAAATACTAAGGTCATACTTATAACTATGAGTCATAATCCACATTTTTATATATGAAAACATGAAAGGGTGACTAAATCATTACTTGAGCCATATATAACTCTTCTAGTGTTCAGCAGGGTTTGATTGAACAGGAAAAACTAGACAGATTCAACATGCCATTTTACGCTCCTACAGTGGAAGAGATAAAAAATTTAGTGGAGGCTGAAGGATCATTTTCTGTTAACAAACTTGAAGCTTTTACAGTTGATTCGAGCGTTGACACAAATCAAAACCTCGAAAACCGAGCCAAATTCATTGCCATGACTATAAGAGCTGTTACAGAATCTCTCCTTACAACTGCATTTAAGGAGGCAGCCATGGATGATTTGTTTCTCAGGTTCAAAATAATGGTCAAGGAACGTATGGCTCGAGAACGAAGTGAATACTTAAATATTGTGGTCTCAGTGACTAAGAGGGTTTAAAGTTGGAGTTTCCTAAACCTCAGAACAACTATTATACACTTACTACATATTGCTAGATGGCTTAGATTGTTAAGGAAAAGTATTCTGGTGAAAAGCCTTTTTACATTATCTATATCAACTGTCAGAGTTTATTTACAGTGAAGGATACATCAGACTTTATACAATGTAGTAGTAGGACAGATCAAGTTTTCATATCAACTGTGCACCCGGATATACAATACAATTGCGGTTCTATACAAGAATACATGTATCTTTTCAATTTCCCATCCTATCCCTAGCTTTTGCATTTATGCATACCTACTTCAAAGAAAAAAAAATTAGGCCCTAGGCACAAGTCTGAAATAAAATATGGAGTACTCCTTTACCCCCTCCCCCTCTTTTTTTGGCGAAACTTCACCCCTAAAAAATTTCATATTTGACTTTTTGCGATTTCTAAGACACTCTAAAAAACAAATCGCTAACTTTGTAAGCATAAAATTTGCTACTCTCTTCATTTCTTTCATGAATATTTTCAATTTAACTACTCCCATAACATTTTTCTTATCTGTAGTTAAGTTTTCATTTTTAGTGTTTCCTCTCTTTGGTTAATAATATTATTACACACTTATGGGATTAAGGCTTTGATTGATTGAATAATATTTTTACACGCTTACCATCATATTTAGCTATTTTCTATGCACCAATTCTCAGTTCAAAATACCATATTGTATTTACATAATTCCAAAGCAACTATTCTCATTTATCAAAATATTTACCCACTTTCAAGTCCCAAAGCATATAAAATATTGTAGCTAAAGTACTACATATTTACCTACTCCTAAAATACATATTCCCATTTTACCTACTCCAATAACATTTTTCTCAATACTCGTAAAAAAAACCTTAACTTAACTTTGGAAAAGTAACGAAAAGACACAACAAAGCATCATCACTTCAGAACTTTCTAATTCAAAGTCAGCAGGGTCAATTCTTAATTTATTACGTGCAGAAAAAGCTTAATAGGAAGTGCCAGTGAAACTACCCAAATCCACTGCTCCCAAAAAGTCCAATTACTCCACAATCCCACATACTAAGTCGAAATTTCCATTGCATATCCACAAGACCACAATCTCTATTAAAGTAAACACAGGAAGAAAAACCAAATGCAGCACCTTAAAACACTCCTTACCTGATCTCTAAAACAAGATCAGAAAAACCTCTCAAAATGTTCGACACCAACATCCAAATGCCTACCGCTAAAACAATCATCTCCACTGCTACCTCTGCCGCTGCGGCTGCTATGCTGATACGTAGCATTGCTAGAGACTACGTACCCAATGAATTTCAATACTACATTTCCTATAAAATCAGGGCTCTCTTTGCTTCTTTCTCCTCAGAGGTAACCATAATCATCAGTGAAGTTGATGGAATGGTTAGAAACCAGCTTTTTGATGCTGCAGACCTTTACTTGGGCACCAAACTCTCGCCTTTAACCCACAGATTCCGAGCCACCTTGCCTATGAAAGAGACGAATATCCTATTTTTCATGGATAAAAATCAAGAGGTGATTGACATATTCAATGGAGTCAAGCTCACTTGGGAAAAAGTGACTAAACAGGTGAAAACAAAGAGATCCAACAAAGAGAATCATGAAATCCAATACTACAACTTGAGCTTCCATAAGAAGCACAAAGATATGGTATTCACCACCTACTTCCACCACATCCTAGAACAAGCACAGGTGGTCAAAAAACAGAAAAGGACCCCAAAGCTGCACACACTGGATTCTGAATTAATGCGTAGGAGCAGGGGAACGGCTTGGCAATCAGTAAATCTAGATCACCCAGCAAATTTTGGCACTTCAGCCATGGACACGGAGATGAAGAAGATGATAATGGAGGATTTGGATAGGTTCGTGAAGAGGAAAGACTTCTACAGGAAAGTTGGAAAGGCATGGAAACGGGGATACTTGCTGTTTGGACCTCCTGGTACAGGAAAATCTAGTCTGATCGCAGCCATGGCTAATTACCTCAATTTTGATATATATGATCTAGAGCTGACTGATGTTAGGAGAAACTCTGATCTTAGGAGACTACTGATAGAAACAGCTAATAGATCGATACTCGTGGTGGAAGATATTGACTGATCTATCGACTTGCAGAAGACGATAAAGGAACGCCAGAAAAACTTGCAAGATCCATATTTACAACAAGGGAATGAGGTAAATTATTAAAATTATTCTAAGAGAAATTTTCACGAGTAATGATCTAGAACTGACATTTTCTGTTCTATAACCTAGGTGACCCTATCAGGCATGCTTAATTTTATGGACGGGTTATGGTCAAGCTGTGGAGATGAGAGGATCATTGTGTTCACAACAAACCACAAAGACAGACTGGATCCAGCACTCTTGCGACCAGGACGGATGGATTTGCATATCCACATGTCCTATTGCACCCAATCTGCACTCAGAACATTATCTTCAAATTACCTTGGCATCACAGAGCACCCACTTTTGACGGAAATTGAACAACAGGTGCAGGAAACAAAGGTCACCCCTGCAGAAGTAGCTGAACAGTTGATGAAAAGTGAAAATTCAGAGGAGGCATTGAAAATGCTAATGAATTTCATTGCTGAGAAAAAGAAAAGTGAGGATCTCAGAAGCACTCAGCAGAAAGCGGTAGCAGAAGTGGGAAGTAAGGAGTTGGAAGAGGAGATCAAGGAAAGTGTTCAAATACTGAATTAAGAATTATATGTTCCAGATAGTACAGCACAATGCTATGACCCCATAAGAATATGTAATGGGAGTATGGGACTTTCATCTTGCAATAATTATCCAGTGTATTAATTTTGAAACTTCTACAGTATATAAGATGTTTAGAGCTTCAAATCTTGGTATATCTTTTTTTTTTAATTAACCTTTTCTATTCATTAATTGTGTATCAACATACTAAACTTATTCCTATACTACATTGCCAAATGAATACAAAATATTAGATTAAGTAAAAGAAAGGATCAACAGCACAAAAACTCAGTACAGTTAATACATAAAAATGTATTGTAGCGACTTAAATACCTAATCAATAAATAGGCAACTGTATACATGATCTTGAAAAGGTACACGACAACATAGTTTCAATTAATCAATGGCTAATATTAACATAACAGACTCACAGTCAAGAGTGAACTTCAAACTGCCATCTTCATTTCAATTTTCTGGTGAGGATCATAACCCACAAGCTCGAAATCAGTTGCTACAAAAGAATCTATATTCTTCTTCTGAGTGTTGATCTTCAAAACCTGTTAAAATACAAACATTAGATTTCATTTGGAAAGAGAAACACAATAGCCTAAAAAAGAAAAGGTAACTATCCTATTTCAAATCAAAGCTAGCTACATCACTAATATCATGCTTACAGGAAAAGGTTTAGGCAGATTCTGTAATTGTTCTTGCAAAGGCTCAATATGGTTGCGATAAACATGAGTATCTCCAATGACATGGATGAAATCCCCAGGAATAAGATCTGCAATGAAGAAAATTTTGTTAAGCGTATACATCCAAAATCAACTAGCCTGAGCAAAATTAGATAAAAGTAATGCCACATATATTATAAACCACAACTAAACACCATAAATCTGAGGTAGAGTAGAATCCATGTACCAAGTATTACCTCATTTGTCTCTTAAGATGCGACATTTGAATGATGTATTCAGATATTTTGCACACCAGCAGTATTAGAAGAAAAAGAAAAGACAAAAGAAAAGAAAAAGTAGCAACAAATATGCTTACCACAGACATGAGCAATCATACACGTCAATAGAGCATAAGACGCAATATTAAAGGGAACCCCCAAGCCCATGTCTGCTGACCGCTGGTACATTTGACAGGATAGCTCACCATTTGCTACATAGAACTGTAACAGAAAAAGTAAGCGCTAAAGAAATAAAAGAATACATAAAGCAAATAACTTGAATCTCAACAAATACCTGAGAAAACATGTGGCATGGAGGCAGTGCCATTAATTTAAGATCAGAAGGATTCCAAGCTGAGAGGATAATACGCCTGTCATCTGGTTTATTCTTAATCTTGTGTATAACATCTAACAACTGATCAAATCCTTGCCCAGTGTAGTCAGCATGCATGCTAGTATATCTGTAGAAGTAACAAGTAGACATAAGAACTAACATCCGGCTTCTTCATGTGAAGCAACATATAATAATCTCTCGAACATCATGAATCAACCTAGCACCAAAGTACCGCCACTGGAATCCATAAACAGGTCCTAGATCCCCCTCTTCCCTGTCCGGTAGACCAATGCTGCGACAGGAATAGATGCATGTCAAGGCATATATGCACAACAGTAAGTCAGTAACATATCACTAGACAAAGTTTGGGCTGCACGTTTTTGGTTTACCTATCAAGGTAAATTCTGGATGCATTTCCATCCCAAATATGTATGCCTTTCTCTTGCAGAACCTTAAAAAAAATGAAAACACTTGTTACACCTTGAATTTCAGTTATCAAACCCCAAAGGTCATTAAAACCAAAATTAGTATAGACACTTGGAGGAAGGAAGATAGTCATTTACTACATACAAAAGACTGAATCTTATATGCAAGTGTATATATTCCTCATAACCAGGATATAATATGTATTCATAGACGAATAGTCCATCATGCTTGAGCAAACTCTTCTGCATTTACTCTGGTGGTTTATCGTGCCTTTCTATTCTATTATCCATTCCAGCTTCTGAAATCTGAATTCCTAAATTGATAAGGGTATGGCAACAGTCCAATGTTGTGAAGTGATATTTTACATTATACCAATTCACTGAAAGGTCTAAAATAGAATTCAAAATTGCCCCTCAGTAAAAAGTCTCCATTCAAAGCATCAAAACTCAGAGGTTTGCATCAAGGCAGGCTTGAAAAATCAGCTCATAGCAATAGAACAGACTAAGCAGTTTATGGTAATTTCCACAAAAAAGTAGCATTATGTCTCAAAGGCATCTTCAGCCTCGTGTGAATCTCAGATAAGTATTAGATTAACAGCAGGGAAGCAGCAACTTCATTAAAAAACAAAGCAATGTTGAACCAACAAAACAAAATAATGCTAGAGTTATTATACAATACCTTGGCATTTGTGGAACCACTAATAAACCACAATAGTTCCTCTACAACACCTCGCCAAAATACCCTCTGTAATTTGAAATGATAAAGATAATTGTCAATATACATAGCTTAAGAGTTCGAATAGATTTTTTCCACAAATAATATTCAGTATCCACGATATTTTTTCCAAATCTGTATGTATAATCAAATCAACAAGCCATTTAAGGAAAACATAAATTGCTAAAACCTTCAAAAAAATCATAGAGAGAAGCAATATAAGCTGGAAACTTAATTAGACATTACATGCCTTGGTTGTAAGAAGTGGGAAACTCTTGCGCAAATTGAACCGCATCTGTGGGCAAAAACCATCAAATCAATAACTAAAAACCAAAACAAAAACAAAATAAGAACTCAGTATAAACAAACAGCTTGATGCACCTGGCAACCAAATTTTGATAGGGTCCCCGTCCCTGTCCTATCATCCTTAAGATTCCCACTCGACAAGATCTCTTGAACTAGCTTAAGGTACAAATGCTCCTGATGTCTATCAAATACCATTTGAGGCAGGAAGGAGAAGTCCTGTACCTTAGACTTACTAGATAGTGCCTTGGTAGTATTGATTTGTGTACCAATATCAGTCGCAGTCCTTCTCACACGGACATATGTAACGAAAGAGTGTCGTATGTTGTTCTCAACCGAAGGAAAAGACGAATACCAAGGCTGAAACAAAGAATTATCCACAGGGGGCATAAATGTGTCACACTCTATATCGGTCTCAATCTCTGTAATATGAATCGCATCGCAAGCTGGAGCATTAAGCGCCTCCCTACATACAAAAAGCATTAATCCCTTTATGCAAAAGATACATTCCTACTCAAAGTTCATGGAAACACAATATAAATGCCAACCTCAAGATCTGACCACCACCAATGACAAACACCCTCTCAATCAAAAGATCATACGGGCGCATTCCCAACAACTCCAAAGCAGAATTGATGCTTCCACAAGTCACAACATCTTCCAAACTTCCAACATCATAATCCCGAGAATGAGTGAGAACAACGTTAAGTCTACCGGGCAAAGGCCGATTCTTACGAGGAATACTCTCCCATGTCTTTCTCCCCATTATAATAGCATTCTTTTTTTCAGCATTAGAAGTTTGCAAAGTAATATCCTTAAAAAATTTAAGGTCAGAAGGCAATTTCCATGGCAATTTCCCATCTTTTCCAATACCCATTTCCTTAGTTGCCGCAACAACTACTTGGTATCCCCTTCTCAAATCAATTTTATCATTGCTTGTTCCATTGCTAACGTTTCTAATCTCACTAGCCATCGAAACGGCACATATATCGAGAAATTTCTGCAGTAGAAAAACAATTTTTTTTTACAGAATTCCGATATGATGTAACCATTTCACTCTTTGTAATTGAAATTATTGACAAATCAAAATAATTCAACATGAAATTAAGCAGTAATGAAGCAAGTTTCATGAATTAAATACTGTAATAAAACAAGATTAGCAAAAAAATTGAAAATTTAGGGTTTAAGCATGAAACAATATGGAATTACTAATTGAGGTTATTAGAAAATCAGATCGAAAGAGAAGCTTACCAATCGTAATCTGATAGAAGAGATCGAATTAATTGATTGAATCGCAGCAGCAATTTTTGGAAAATAGGACATGAAAATATGGTGAAGAAAGAAGTGAGGTTTAGAGGAAGAAAGGGCGCGCAAATTCGCGCCAAATTACATGTTTTAGACTTTTAGTGATTGGATATTTTATCTAAATCTTTAAGGATCAATTTTCCCTTGGTATGAGTGGGTGTTCCTCACCATCTGTGTTCGAACCTTTTTGGGAGTGTGTGAAGAATTTCTCGTACCCTCCCTTGAGTAATTTTTGTGTTATAAATACGAGTAAATTATTAGGAGTGTGACATATAAGAGTATCTACGCTGGTTGTATAAGATAACTTGCTTGCAAATAACCAAAAATACAATGCAATAGCAACATACTTGCCATTGGAGAGTGACCTACTTGTAATTTGGAGATACATATGTTGCTCTCCAAAGTTGTGTAACTTCTTGTTGTTTGGGAAATATAACACACAAAACTACAAGGATTGTAGCTAATTCATTATGGATGCTCTAAGGGAGAAAGTGAAGCAAAGACTTTGCTGGACTCTTAAGTGAGTTTTTTAGTGTAAAACATCCATATTTGAGATATAATTATCTTTTATTCAAATTGATTAATTGATGGCTCCTTGCCCTTAACAAAAGGGTATCTTGGTGCGGATATTAATATGAAACCATATGTAGATTTCAAACTACTGTAAGAGAGATGACCTCTAAGTAAAATATTAGGCTTTGCCTGATTCATCATTTAATCTGAACTTATTTTCTTTTATTTAATCTTGTTTTATTTTATTTTGCTTGAACTTTTTTTTGTTTATTATTTTATTTTATCTCCTCTAAATTTATTTTATCTGTATTATTTTTTTAGAACTTATTTTGTCTAAACTTATTTGAACTTAATTTTTCTGAAATAAGATAAAATAAGTTAAAAAAATGATGCAATATACGGACCTTAATTAGGGACCCATTAAGGCCATTATTGCAAATGTCTTGATATAAATTAGAGAAAATGAAGAATGAGAGAAGAAAATCAGGGGCAGTGAATTTATGGATGAACTAATCAACTAAACACCATTTACAGGCAAATGCCTTCCAGTAACACAAGAAGAAGAGAGCAGGGAACTAAGGGAAGGACGGGAGAGAAAAAAAATGTGGCAGTGTATTAACTAATAATACCATAATCTGGCAAATGCCTTTCAATTACGCCGAAGTAAATCAGTGCTCTCAGTAAACTGGAAAGAAGAAGACTAATATACTGTGAATATTACAAAGCATGCAGCACTCTCCAGGCAAATGCTTATCCAATAGATTACATCATTTTCCCTACAACAGGCAAGTACTCAATCCTCTTCAAGTTGGATGATAGCAACATTTCACCGACTAATGATTAGAGACCAGAAAAGTATCTCATGTGGTCTTCGAATGTCTCACCATGGCGGATTTTGGCAACTGATCCATCTTCTTCAATCTACAAAGAGATTATAGTATTTAGTACACTCACAAAAGCATTACTAACAAAAACACAAAGCGACCTCACCACCACCAAAAAAATAGACGACTTGCTCAGTCCATAAATGAAACAATCCCTCACAATCTCTAAAAATTCTTCCTATTTGGTTTCACTCCTTTTACAATCCAAATGAAAGAAAATGGAAAGTCAGGAAAAAAAATTATCCATTTAACTAAACCCAACATTTGGTTGCAGAATTTTTCTATTATCCGACTATTTGGTTTGCGAAGGGGTCAATAATATTATTAGGTTGATAATAAAGATCACAAGTACAAGTGTAAACCATGGAAGAGCCTGATATAGCACAAAGAAGAGAAAGAAAGGAAGAACAAGGAGGAAGATCCAAGTGCAAGAGTAAAACCATATGGTGAGCCCCAATTTGCTGAACAAAGCAACTTTATCGGATTAGTGGAATGGATTGTATATGAATCATTCCTCCCTCTAATCCCATTCCATTCCATTTCTTTTTTAATGGTTGAAACAAACAGTCTTTAGATTGATTTTCTGATTTTTCTACTAAGGAACTAAACAAAGGAAAAATAAGGATTAAAACTGGCTTCCAATGATGTGATTTTGTCAAAAAAAAATAGATCTAAGTTCATAATCAAGACACAGTGACAATCCTCATTTAAGTTAAGAAATGGATAATCAGGGAGCAAGATGCGGAAACAGATATTTTCCCATAAATAAGGGATAAGACTCAGTACCCAGTATTCTGGTGGGCGCATCTTGAGATTGTAGGTGGAGGCCATGCTCATGCAATAGGCACCAGCATCATGAACTACTAATCCAGCTCCCTGCAAACCAAAAACCAAGTATTAAAACATGATTATATGAAATTTATTCTTAACAACTTAAACCAAAGGGATCGAATAGGAGAAAAAGGCATTATCATTACACTTTGTGGAGTAGGAAGTTTGCGCTCCTTGCCCAAGAAATCAGCTGACTCACAGACTGGGCCAACCACATCAAAGGTAAATAACTCTACATCTGATGGAGCTGGAGAAACTAGCTCTATATGCTGCAGATATTATTTACAGTAGTTAGAAAGCCGTTTCGACAGTTGCTGGACCCATGTAAATTACAGTACTACAATTTAGCGCAGTACTAGCCTAGTGGTTAAATTGAATACAACTGCCAGGAAATCTACTTACTTGGTAAGCATCATAAAGACTCGGACGGATAAGTTCTGCCATGCTCCCATCAATCACAATAAAATTCTTTGTACCATTAGTTTTGACACCAGTGACACGATTAACTAGGCAACAGGTATTTGCAATAAGTGATCTTCCTGGTTCAATGATAAGGTTGAGATCTCGTGAGAGGACCAATTCACGCACCTGCAACAAGCATAAATGGTCATAACCAATTTTATCATCAACATCAATTCAGCCTAATTATATGACTTAGAGTAATATAGATCTGCATGTACAGATCTGCTATGGCCTTACTGTGTTAATAAGATCTCTAGGTGTAGGAAGAACAGCACCGGCATGATAGTAATCTATTCCCAGACCACCTCCGATGTTCAAGTAACTAATCTCGAAACCTTGGTCACGAATTTGGTCTATATAGTCTACCATAAGGACAGCAGCATCCCTGAATATATCCACCTGTACATGGGTACAAAAATATTTTTTAACTAATGAGAGGCTATGGAGTATGAATTACAAAGCAAAATAAACAGACACCAACAAAGTAGTCCCGAAGATTAGACAGTTTATATGGGCATCTCAGAATCAATAAACTGAAAGTAATCATAACTCTTAAGAAAAAAAGACGATACTTAAATACCTTGGTGATTGTTGATCCAAGATGGCAATGAGCTCCAACTAGCTTTAGCTCATTAGGATGAGCTTTCACAGCATCCAAAAACCATTGTAATTTCTCATTTCTAATACCGAATTTGGAGTTCTTGTTCCCTGTGGCAACATAAGGATGGACCTAAAAGTAACGACCAATAGGTAAGCCATATGGAAACACAAGAAAAAAGGCATGAAAGAATTTATCTTGCCTAAATGAATGTATATGCAACTACACCTACCATTGTTCATAAATGGCAATTTAGGCCTCCCGGTCTCTCTCCCCTATACACTCACCTATTACTTTCAATGATGAAAATCATGTATAGTTGCATATTGACAGGATTCAACAAGCACTTTAAGACATTTAAAATTTCATAATTTGAAAACTAAAAGGAAGATGTGGATGCGATTCAAAATTTTAAACCACTTATAGTCAAAGCATTGCACTAGGGAGTAGGGACCCAAGGCCATGTTGGCTTGTGAAAGATGATAAATGATTTTGAGTTTGACTAAAAAGAATAACCCCTCCGTCCCTTAAAGATTGCCCAAATTTCCTATTTGGTTTGTCAATTTGAGTTTGCCCTGTATCTTATTTGGTAACCTTTCCTTATCTGACACAAAAAAAAAAGACAAATTGGACAAAGGAATAATGTCAAGGAAAACAAATTGAAGAATAACATTAGGAGACAAAGGGAGTAATGTCAAGGAAAACAAATTGATGAATATTGCTAGACTCTGATTCTCCCAGAGCTCTGCCACAATTTTATATCAGTTCTCCTTTTCTCCAACGGAAATATGGAATACTCAACACAGGACTCTGGTCTCCCATGTGCATGAAAAAGGTTAAAGCAACGATACCACAGAATGACCTACAGACTGTTCAGCTAAGGCAATGCAATAGAATCACGGAGATATACCAGATTCCTACGCCCCAAAAAAAGGGACTAAATACTGTAGCAAACATGCCTCAAGAAAATCTTTAACAAGCCAAGATTCCAAGCTTCCATAACATTTGACATATTCACTACACATGCCATACCAATTGAAGACAATAGGTTTATCTCAAACAACTAAAAGTATATTAGTGTTAAGAAGGAAAAATAATATATGTATAAATAAAATGACATCTTAACAGACATACCTGAGGATCAACATCAGGGTTAATTCGAAGCAATACATTCACCCTTTTCCCTGTAATTTTAGCAGCTGAAATGATGTTGTCCAAGTCAAACTCACTGTCAATGTTCACGAATACACCGCTCTCAGCAGCAAGGACTAAATCCTCCAATGTCTTCCCATTTCCATTGAAGATACACCTACCATCAAGACATCATCTTAGTGGACAAGCTACATTATTTCAGAGTCCAATCAACTAAGGGTACACACAAGCTATAAACAAACCAATATCCCCAATGCTTCAACTTCTAGCAGTCAACTACAGAGTATAATAAAACTGTAACATTAGTCAATGCAAAGAAACAAAGTAATGATTCATAAAAGTTTATTAACTAGCTCCATATCAATACCATGATCAATGACCATTTTCCAAGCAATGAACAATAACCTACCATCACCCTCCCTTCAACACACACATCGAAAACTTCGAATTAGGCAGCAAATTGCATTTCCATACCCGTTTCGAGTACCAATTCTACCGCGAATTAGGAACACTAATTCACACATAAAAGCCACAAATACACCATTTCAAACTTCGCAAATTACATGAAAATCATCTATTTCCAAGCACATAAACAGCAAAATACAATCATAAACTACAGCAAATTACCCAAATTGAGAAAGAAAGAAAAGTAATCTTACTTAGTGGGATCAAAACCAGTAGCCAAAGCAAGCCTGAGCTCATTACCACTAACAAGAACAGCCCCACAACCCAATTCCCTCAAATGTTCCAAAATCTTCACATTATTATTAGCCTTAATAGCATAA